GTCCTGGTTTGTAGAAAGTCCAGGATCTGTGGCACTGAGGCCACAGTCGGGTCTGTGCCCTTCTTGGTGCACCATTGATGGAATGCTTTCCCGGTAGTGTCATATATTCTGTTTGTAGAAGGCCTCCTGGAGGCTTGTATTGTTTTGGTGACATTTCTGGAAAAGTTATCCCTCCTCAGGATCCTCCTCTCAAGTGCCAGGCGGTCAATTATAGCCACTGAGGCTCCAGGTGTTCCAAGACCCCCTAGTTGAAAGATATCCTGCCCTGAGGGATCCTCCAAGGGCGGAACACTGACAGGCTCACTAGATCCGCATACCACGACCGCCAGTGAGGAGCGATGAGGATGATTTCTGCCTGTTCTAGAAGTACTTTCCTTATCACCCCTGGTATGAGGGGAAGAGGAGGGAAGGCATAAAGGAGACTCTTGGGCCAGCGGCTGCAAAGGGTGTTTACCCCTTCTGAGCCTGGCGACGGGGATCTGGAGTAAAATCTGGGAAGTTGGGTATTCGTTGGAGTTGCAAAGAGGTTGTGTACTGGCCTCCCGAATCTCTGAGCTATGTCCTGGAACAGATCTGGATGGAGACGCCACTCGGAGTTGTCCACCCTGGTCCTGCTTAGGTAATCTGCCTGGACATTTGCTATCCTCGATATGTGCTTTGCCTTGATTGACAATAGGTAAGCCTCCGCCCAGGTTCCCAGTTGCTGTGTTTCGGACATGAGGGATCTGGAATGGGTCCCTTCCTGGCGATTGATGTGTGCTTTGGCCGCCACGCTGTCCATTAGGATCAGTACGTGTTGGCAGGTCACTGTGCTTTGGAAATTTTTGAGAGCTAAGTGAATGGCTCTCAGTTCTAACCAGTTTATGTTTTGTTAAAGGTCCGCTGTGGACCATTGACTCTGCGCAAGCTGGGATTGTAGAAGGGCCCCCCATCCCAACAGACTCTCATCTGAAGTGACTGTGATGCTATTGGGTTCTTTGAATAGGGACCCCTTGGTGATTGCTGGGGAAACCCACCACCTGAGGGATCTGAGGACATCCAACTGGAGTCGGACCCTGATGTTGGAAGTGCTGGTGCTTGCCCTCTGAAACAGTAGGAGGAACCACTGGAGAGGCCTGCCGTGCAATCAGGCCCATGGTACTATGGCTATGCACAAGATTAATTTTCCCAGAAGCTGGGAAAGCACCACCAAGGGAGCTACTTGCTCCACTCGACCTGTGCCATCAAGAACTTGATGCCGTCCTGGCGCTCCTGGGATAAATATACTTCGCATAGATTTGTGTCTATCACCGCGCCCAGAAGAAGGAGGCGGGTGGAAGGTATCAACTGGCTTTTCTGGAAATTGATTGAAAATCCATCTTGTCTAAGTCAGGTCTGATTTGAGTTGTTGGTTGGAGCTGGACTGGATTAGGATGTCGTCCAGATAGCACTGGACACGGACTGAAATTGTTCTGAGGTGCACGGCCAGTGCTGCCAGCACTTTTGTGAAGGTCCTGGGGGCCTAGGATAGTCCGAATGGCAGGGCCTTGTATTGATAATGACCCCCCGTATAATAGAATCTGAGAAACCTCCGATAGGAGGGGTAGATAGGGATGTGGAGGTAGGCCTCTGTCAGATCGATAGACATTAGATCGCCCCCACCTTATGTTCTCCAAAATGGACTGCAGAGATTGCATTTTGAATCTCTTGTAATCTAAATGAGCATTGAGCTTTTTGAGATCCAGGATCATTCTCCACCCCCCCACCCCCCCGAGGACTTGGGAACTACAAATAGAATGGAGTAAAACCTGTGCCCCCTCTGGTCCTCTGGTCCCGGCTCGATGGCCTGGTTGTCCAGCAAATGCTGGACCGCCGTGTCCATGAGCTTTCTCCTTACGTGGTTCTTGGAGGCTGGGCAATGGGTAAAGGTCCTTGGAGGAGTGGACAGAAAATCCAGGGTGAGACCGAATCGCACTGTTTTCAGGACCTAGGAATCAGATGTGATGGTCTCCCATCGGTCTGCAAATAGGGCCAGACAGTCGCGGATGGGAAGAAGGGTCTGGCAGTCATTTGGATCAATGGTAGGAACAATCTCCTGTGCCACGAAAGGGCCATTTAGATTGAAACTGTTGTTTCTATTTCAAAATCCTGATCTATCTGAGGGTCAATCTGATCTGGGCTGGTAGGACCTTTGGAATTGCGAGAATTCCTGGCCTGAGTCTGAGGAATGAAATGGCTGTCTACAGGTGTAGGGAGAAGCCCTCCTATCAGCCTCCCTGGTAAGAGAGGAGAACACTTTACTCTTGCCTTTATTCTTGACTATGAAGGGGTTTAAGGCCTCTCCAAATAGGGAAGAACCCGTGTAGAGGGCAGAGGCCACTTTCCATTTGGTTCTAGCATCTGCTTGCCACTGTCGTAGCCAGAGCAGACGACAAGAAGTGATGTTGGAGGCCAGGGCCCTGGAGGAGAATTGGGCTGCATGCAGGGAGGAGTCGGCCGCATATTCAGTGGCTGCCATCAGTTTGTTGATGTCCTGATGCATTCTGATTTCCTCAGGGGGAATCCTAGCCTGTAATTGGCAAAGCCAGAGAAGGGATGTCCTAGTGAAAAAGGACGTGGCTGCAGCTGCTTTAACCACCCATGAGTTGGCCTGGTGTTCCGCCTTTTTGTCCTGTCTTAAGGGCCTCTGCTATGTCACCTGATATTGCAGAGGGAGAGACCAAAGACGCCAAAGGTTCATCCAAAGGGGAAAGTTGAAGTGACTTGGAGAGGAGAGGAGCTATATTGGAAAAAAAATTTATCATTGCCCCCTGGAGTGGGGAAGGATCCAGGCTGTGCCCATTGTCTCTGAACTATGTCTAAAAATAACTTGGAACAAGGAATCTCCTGTTGGAGAATTGTAGGTTCAGAAAAAACCTTGCTGTTGGGTCCCTGAGTATCAGGTGAAGCAGTTGGTATAGTGGGCGGAGGATCAATTTGGACAGTGGTCCTAGTCTTGTGGAGGAGGGATTTTAATAGTCCCGGGCTAAACAGACCTGAGAACGGGGTGGATCAGGTGATAGGTCCTCATCTGATGAGAACCCCTGCTCCCCTTGAATTTCCTCCTCCCTCCCAGGTGCTCTGCTTCTGATGGAGTGGGCTGTAGAAGCCTCTTTCTGGTGCCTGGAAAAATCCATGGAGGCCTGGTATTACACTGGCTGCAATGGCTGAAGATCAGATCTTGGGGAAGAACACTGGCTCCTCCCCCTCAGGGAGGAGGCTACCCCATAAGAAATGGCCTGAGCAATAAGGGCCTTAAGATCCTCTGATAATTCAGGGCCATCCTATCTGCTGAGCACATCCCTGCTGCAGTTGGAGTAAAAGTAGCCTCGGGTGTTCCAGTCCTGTCTCTGACCTGCAAATCTGCAGGACGAGGAAGCATGCAATCAAAAGGAAATCTCTGAGTTTGGATTTCCTCAACAGAAGGGATAAATTCCTGCTCCCTATCTCCCTCTGGTGACCAAGCCACTAGAACTGCAGGCAACTCCTGTGCTAAAGGCTGCTGGGGGAGGGGGCTAACAGGCCCCTGGGGGGAGGGCGTATACCTCTCCTGGTCAGCTTGTTTCTGAGCTCTGGAGAACTGCTTTTCCTGTGCTCTTTGCCTCCTTTCTTCTGCTCTTGTGGGCTTTCTGGAATAAAGAGCCTTCGCCTTTATCTTCTTAGCAGCGTCCTTACTTGCAGATCTGCCCTTCCTGGGACTCTGCTTGGATTGCACTCATGGGCTCCCTGCTGCCTTGGTCAGCCATGCTGCTAATGTCCAGGTTGCAGAGAGGAGAGCTCTCTCAATTCTCCAATCCTGCTGCTCCAAGGGGAATTCCAGGCCTGGAAACATTCCCTAGGCTGTGGCAGTGGTGGCCCTACCAGTCTCCTGGATAGCCTGTACAACTCACCATGAGGCCAAAATGGTAGCCGCCTGCCCCAAAAATCTAGCTGAGACCTTGAAAATGAAAGCGGCTGCTCTGGAGATACCTGGGTAAGCCTGGGAGCTCCACGACGTGCTGGGGGCAATAGCAGCTTCAGCACATACCCCCAGGGGTGGGGGACCGTTTTAGGGCTCCCCCTTGACTGCCTGGGCTGTTAGTCCTTCAATTGGTAAGTCAGAGGGACTGCGAAAAACGGAGCAGGCAGAAGTTCCAATTGCTGCCTGTTTACGATGATTTGGATACTTTGAGGGAGTTTTTGCAAACCTTTGGGAGAATCCACACTTTAAACTGCTGCTTTTTGCAGAAATTGTTGGAGCCAACCTTTGCCACGTCTCTATAGGGCCAAGACTAAGTCATGACTGGGGTTAGGGAGCTTCCTGCCCCAACAGGAAGAGGTGTGGCAAAGACTGACTCAGTCTCTCGGCAGAAAGGTAGATTCAACCCATATGTGTGGATTATCCCAAAGGCATGCTGGAGAAATGAATAGCTTTTGCACGAGCTAAAACTGGTATAAAGCAATGGCTTTATTTAAGCACTTCCAATCAGTAGCCCCTTAAGTATCCAGAAATGATTTCAGACCCCAAATTGTTAACTACTGTACAGCAAACAAGATTATTCTTAGTTACCTGAAGATCAGTCTAATGGAATCTCACTACAAGATGCAATCAAAATCACACGCTGATTTATAATTATAGCCGGCACAGAAAATTTCTTAACCTCACAGATGAACATTATTTTTTTCCTAAAATAATCAAAATATTACACAGTGTTTAAATAAAGCATTTTTTCTGAAATATAGCAAATTAACATAAAAGCCCTGGATATAAATAAGCTAAGAATAAAATATGCCTTTATATTCCCCCACTTCTTCTACTTGGCACATTATTTATCTGAAATTAAGAACAACTGCAATTTAAATGACTAAAGTGAAAATGGCCTTTCCTGTTTTGCATTTGAAATAATGTGGAATACTAACAGAGATGTAATATTCTTAATAAACCTGCTTACCAAATAATGCTATCTATAAAGCATTTATGATTTTCTAAAAAGATAACTTACCATTCTAACTACTTCAGGGTAAGTCTGCTCAGTCAAACACCCTCTGCTTATTGTAATGTAATCCACAAGTTCATTAAGAGTTGAACGTTTGTATTCTTTCATTTTAAGATCTGATAGTGTGTCCATGAAGTCAAAAATTACACAGCACTGCTGAAGTTTCTTTAGAAACAATTCAGGTTGATCTGAAGATGGAACGTCTGCAGAATAAAAAAAAAGAATTTTAAAATTATTGCATAAAACAAATTTGTGATTTAGAAGACAGTAGCATAACTAATAGCATATTTTTGGAAAAATAAGGACAATTGGTGATTTAGATTCTTAACTTTTTGGGCAGAGACTTACTTATTTAGTCATCAATTTGTAAAAATTGTACTATTTCAGCAACATAGCTAGGTCACTGATTTGAGGTTAAATTAATGGTGGCTTAAATAGCCTATGTCCTGGAAAAGAAAATAACATTCTAAATGCCCAACTAACAGAAGTGGAACATGCTGAACAACCCATATACCTTAAAGAGAAAAAAACTGAAGAACAAATATGACTAAAAAATATAATAGCACAAGAGAGGGAAAGTATTATATAAACTTTCACATCCCTCAAAACCTTTTGGTGGGCTTGATAATGAGCAAATCAATCTGCTACCTGTAATAATTTTAAGACAGAATATAAAAGATGTTACTATGCATATACAATTGTGGCATGCAATAACTTCATCTTCCATAACATTTAGTAGTTTTTACATGTTACCTCTCGAAAAAAGAGAAACGTGTTATATTAACTTTTTATTTTATTACCTTAATAGAAAAAACAACAACCCCAAAATGGAACATATGAGAAAAATAACTAAATAAAAAGTGCACACACACAAACAGACACACAGTATGTATACAACTCAGTTTTTAAAATAATAAATTGAACCTTGGCCATATACAAAATCATATTATTCATATTGTCTGTATGTTGGTGGATAGCCAATTCAGGCTGAAAATTCACACACTTTTGCCAAGCCAGCTTTTGCTTTCTGGTACACTGGTGTATTTCCAAACTTTTTAAATCCAGAGAGCAATAGACTTAGTGAACAGCATCAATTCTCCAATTCTCCATTCCAAACTTCTTGTGAATTATTAAATATTTATTTTAATAAAAATCTTTAATTGCTAACAAAACTGATTTGTCAGCTTAGTTTTAAGAAAACTATATATCATAGGAATATCTGAAGATGCAATACATCTGGTACAAAATGAGAATATAGCAAATGTTCATATGAATATGTTGATGAAGATTCTCAGTCATCCATATGGAGTTTTCTGGATATACTGACATTTAATGGGTTTAGGCAGGCTATATTCTTCTCATGACTCTCAATGGTTTTTGAAGTATCATTAACAATGAAACAAATTCTCATGAAATCGCAAACTCCTTTCCCAATTTTATCCCAATGTATCTAACTGCCTTCAATTCTGGAAATACAAAACATTTTTGGCTATAATTTGTTGGAGAGCAACTGTCCCAGTCGGGAGGAGGGCTCCAGCAGGGAATTAGTTTGGGCTCATTACATCAACACAAGGGGTCAAGTTCTGACCTTCCATTCCACCCACTACCACCACCCCGATGCCTCTAAGCCTTATATTGTCTTTCCCTGAAAAAGATGGCAGTCTGGAGAGATTCCTATGAATTGGGCATGGAACAATAAAGCTAGTTTGAATTCAACAGTACAGGTGTGGGACTGGTTGTTCATTCCTGAAAAATTAGGGGAAAAATGGTTCTAAGATTTCAAAAGAGTAAAACAATAATTCATAATTGGAAAATAGTATTTATATTCCAATGAAAAACAACGGTCAATAAATTCAGGTAGTCCTTGACTTACAAGCACAATTGGGACTGGAATTTTGGCTGCTAAGTGATACAGTCATTAATAGTCATCATGTCATTGGACCTGATTCTGTGACCATTTTTACCACAGTCATTAAGCAAATCACTAGTTAAGTGAATCATGTGGTCATTAAGCGAAGGCGGCAACTGACTTTGGTTTGTAGAAGAAACCAAAAAGAAAGATCACAAATCACAATCATATGGCCTAAAGATGCTGTAATCATCATAAATACATTGCCACTTGCCAAGTGCTCAAATTGTAATCATGTGACCATGGAGTTGGTGCAATAGTTGTAATTTCAAAAACAAGTTGCAAGTCACATTTTCCTGGACTGTTGTACTTTCGAGCCATCATTAAATGAATGGCCATAAGTTGACATATATGCCCAACATACAATTGAAAATCAGGAAAATTAAAAACTCAGGCAATTTTATTTAAAAAAAAAAACTTGAGTGCCAAGAACTCCATATACAAGTAACAGTCATTTATGTAAAATGTAAGTGGAATTACCATAATTATCCCTCTTGCTGATAAGACACCTACGAGTCCTTGTCAGTTCTAGAGGAGATCAACCCTGACTGCTCTTTAGAAAGCCAGATTCTGAAGATGAAACTTAATACTTTGGCCACCTAATGAGAAGGAAGGACTCACTGGAGAAGAGCCTAATGCTGGGATCGATTGAGGGCAATAGAAGAAGGGGACAACAGAGAATGAGGTGGCTGGATAGAATCACTGAAGCAATTGGCGTGAGCTTAAATGGTCTCTGGGAGATAGTAGAGAACAGGAAGTCTTGGAGGAACGTTGTCCATGGGGTCGCGATGGATCAGACACAACTTCACAACTAACAACAATAATCCCTCTTTAAATATGTACCAATCAAGAGAATATATTCATTTTAACAGTTTGTTTTTTCTGATAGCCTCCTGGCTATCCTCTTTTTAAAAAAAAATTATTAAGCATTACACTTATACAAGAGAGGATGCGGTGGCTCAGTGGCTAAGATAGTGAGCTTGTTGATCAGAAAGGTTGGCAGTTTGGCAGTTCGAATCCCTAGCACCGTGTAACGGAGTGAGCTCCCGTTACTTGCGCCAGCTTCTGCCAACCTAGCAGTTCAAAAGCATGTAAAAATGTAAGTAGAAAAATAGGGACCACTTTGGTGGGAAGGTAACTGCGTTCCGTGTGCCTTCAGCATTTAGTCATGCCAGCCACATGATCACGGAAACTTCTTCGGACAGGGCTGGCTCTTCGGCTTCATAACAGAGATGAGCACTGCCCCCTAGAGCTGGAAACTAGTAGCACGTATGTGCGAGGGGAACCTTTACCTTTACCTTACACTTATACAGATAAAAACTAATACAAATTACAAAAAATAAAGAAGTTAAAAAAAGTGATAGTGTGCAGAAAAAAAGAAAGAAAGAAAAGTATACTTTGCCATAACATGTATACACAATTTTAACAACTTATCACCTTCTCTTAAAATACAGCAACCTCTTCATTCCATGTTTCATCACTTTGTCTATAAACACATCTTTAAAACCCTGTCAAATCTGGTCAGCAAATGTCCATTAAGGGTTACCAGAAATAACAACATCTACTTTAACCTTGATCAAATAAACTAACTTCATACTCCTTCCCTTTACTTTTCAAACCTTCAGTCTTTAATTCCTTCAAATAATGCCCTAGAACTTGATTCTTTTTGTGTGTCCCTTCTCACCAGTTTTTAAAACTTCTCCGTAGAACTGCTGCGAGCATCCAGAGAGTGGGAGGTGCTCCAGTCTCATCTCGTACAGGCTGAGCTATAATTGAGGAACGCTCCTCCTCCTCCACGTGACTCCTCCATGCGTTTCCCCCAGTTTTAGCTCAGCCTTCGATAGAGACAGGCAGCTTTAATCGTTCCTTGCCGTCAACAGGTCTCCTTTGTAAATCCAATCAAGTCACTCTTCCAATTTGTTATCTAATTTAATTTCTATTTAATTATCAAGACATCAGCTGGTTTCATTTGTATATCCAGTATATCATCGTTTTCCAGATCATTCTTGTAGCCTGTCATTTTAAAATCCTCATTAAAATCTATTTTAGCTTTGTCCAGTAGAACTGGTTCCTCATCCATAACATTATTTATGCATGCAGTCATTTTGGCAGAGATTGTAAAAATTAACTTCTGAGTACATTGTTCACAAATATTCTTCAATACATCCAATATTGAATATTTTACCCAATCTGTGTCAACTAGTGAAATTTAAAACTTCCCCTTTAATTGCCTTCTGGCTTTCTCTAGTAGATTTTAAAATGACAGCTTTTGTTGTCATACACACAAAAATTGGTTGTAAATGCATGCATTGGTCAGAAAATGATCTATTTAAAAAATACCATATTTGTGAACAGCCACTAAACCAGTGACAGTAATTGTTTATTCTGACCCTCATTTTTGGGTTGGTGATAGAGTTCCTCAGACTTATGGTTCTGGAAGATTTTAATCTGTCTTTTCTAAGAATGGAGTCTGAGGCAGGCAGCTCTAGGGTTCATGATCCAAGTCGTTCACAGTCTGACTTTGAACAATGATTACACTCCAGATTGGGTCTTCTTTTGGACCCGTGGCAATGTCGGAATGGGCTGAGGTTTCATCAGTATGATGATGACTCAGTTCTGTATCTCTATTCCAGGACAACCAGTGATACTGACAAGATCTTTTCCCAGTATTGGAAAACTTCAAGTCAATCTTACTGAGACCTAGTGGCTATAGGCTTGGGGGGGGGGGGGGGGGGGGGGGG